CAAACAAATAAAAAATCCGAATCCCCCACGTACTAGATTCTGATCCTACCTTGAACTGTTACCATAACATTTCCTATATCTCCTGGGAATTAGGAAATGCTAGCATGAGGTTATTATCACGGGGAGCCCGGAGTTCCCGAGAATCAAAACAAGCGAGTGAGTTATTTCCCGGAATATTGATTCTATCTCATTTAATGATGTAAAAGTGACATGTTTTATTGGTTTATTTGATTGTCCTTTTATTTGCTCACGAAACCAAATACCAGAACGAAAGACATATTGCAATTATAGTAGAAGTGATCTCTCTCTCTCTCTCTCTCTCTCTCTCTCTCTCTCTCACACACACACACACACACACAGAGAGAGAGAGAGAGAGAGAGAGAGAGAGAGAGAGAGATGAACGCCCCAATCTGATTCACGCTGACATCATTTCAATAACGGCGTTGTTGGGTCTTCCCTGGCTGACTCAGCTGTTGTATGTATTGCTCATGCTGCATGACTGTGCAGGTAATTAGTCATGGGCTTGCACTACTTACCTGATTGACTTGTTGTATGACTCCTCAACCAATCAGCCGACTAATGGCATCCCGATGTCTTGATTAATTGGAAACCGTTTTCTATATTATCAGCATGTCTCTGCCGTTTCTGTTAGCTAATGGACACTGCAAAATTCTGATTATAATTTTTATACTCAGAAAGTTGAATAACAGCCACTGCTGGCTTCTGCGGGATTTTGTTTTCGGAAAACTCAATTTTTCAGGCGAACACATCCAATTTGGTCAGTCATAAATATTGCAATGTCTTATCTTGTTTTTAGTTATTCACCAGAAACTGTATACCAAGGGAAACAGTAAATTGATAGTTGAATCGATCAAACTTGCTGCATTTTCTGTGTCTTTGGGCCTGTTCAGCACCAAGTTGATTCGCGACCTAATTGATCCGCGGATCAAATATGGCCGACCCACCTGAAAGCTCACCGCCGTTGTGACAGTCCGGTAAGAACCGTGGTCGGCTTCCCATTACGTTGCACAGGTGGCATTCGTCCCATATATTATATTTGTCCCAATACTCCAACTAATGTAAACCCTAACCTGGACTTATCATGTGGGAGCCCGGACTTCCATGCCTAGGTCTACCATTCCTGTCACACACTGGAATCACACGGCAAGCTTTCAAGTGGGTTGGCCATATTTGATTCGTAGATCAGTTAGTCCGCGGATCAACTTGGTTCTAAAAAGGGACTTAAGTTGCATCTTGAACGGACGCAAACTTCGTGGAACTATATGTTCTCAATATCTTATATTAAACAAACTGCGATAGCATACACGTATTAGGGTAGGTTGCATACATGTTGGAGCCTGAGGTTTCATAAGAAAATGTGGTCATTTCACTATTTGTGTCGTGGCACGTGGCACAAGAATTTTTACGCTCGAGAAACTGTGGAATTTTACGTAAATTGGCCAACGCCGTTATTTAACCAACCAACTATCCACCTGGAGAGATTGAGATCTAGGGTGAACAACTTGTGTAACACGCACAGGCACACACACACACACACCCAACACACAGAAACGTAAAAATATGCACACGTGCACAAATGTGTTAACACACGCACACGCACGCACGCACATTCAGGCAATTGCCCATGCGCGACCTTGTAAATCTACAACTCATAATATTTTATAGATGAAGAATTCACATGGGCTAGAATATGTATGCCTCAGTCAAGGCTTGCACTGAAATAGGCTGTATATGCTTCATTATCGCAGTCGCTTTCCTTGAAATATGCTAGTTCCTGTTAACCGTGTTTACCTCCCAACAGGCATTAAGTAAATATGTCCAATAACCTTTGGCGAACGCAGCCAGCTTAGCCTGTAGACGGATACGTATGACGTCAGATCCGTCAAACAGAGAGATCAACGACTGTACATAAAATATGCGTCCGGCCAGTAAATAACCTACTCGTATTTAACATATTTCTACTGACCTATTTAACTTTAACATGCACATAACGAGCCCCCAAGTGTGATACAATAATGTAATATTGACGAATAAGATTAAATGATCTTTATCAGCACTGACAAATCTGATTGGCTCATGTTTCAAATTTTTGCAATAAACGGAATCTGATTTTTACAAAACTGCATCCCTTCCATAAGTACATATGCATAATGCAATGGCCATGATGCAAACATAGCAGCATACGGTGTCACTATTGACCAGTGGTTGATCTCTAACCCCCGTGTTGTCGTGGCCATCAAGGTTACCCCCTTGTTAACTGTTTACCTCTAGAGGAAGGATTAAGTGCCATCGTAAATTCCAGGTCGCGGGCCGGAACTATTCTGACAACATAAACATCAATACCAGACCACGTGACCGCGCCTTTAACTACAGGCTGACAACTGGGTGAACTCATTTAACAAACGGCAAGCGAACAGTGAAGATATACTAGTATACATATAAGAGGAATATACAAAGCGAATTGTACAATGGGCTATCCAGCGGCACTGAGCGTATCACACCTAGAGCTGAACAATAACAACAACGAGATGACAATGACCGAGAAAAGGTAAGGTTATTATATATTATATATTATAGGGAACATTTTTATAATAGGAACATTTGTCGAATAGCCGTTTCTCAGTTTCTGACCTGGGAACATTGCTAATACTGAAAAACATGTTTCATGCGTATCCGTTTCTATTGCAGTTAACATCTGTATAACTTGTAAAGTTATTTAGTTAAGAAAAATTCTAGAATACATATTAAATTCGGAAATATTGTTAATTGCAGATTCATTAGTCCGTCTCCCGTCTTCTCTGACGTCAGCACGGCGCTTCAGGCCAGTTTAAGCCAAGCTAAAGAGGACGGTCGTATCACACTCGGCGTCTATCAGGCCGCTACGACGCTAGAAAAGTAAGTTCTATGTATACTAAGATTGTCTCTCAGTCTCTCTCCTCGAAAGTCACATTTGACATGGTTGATTGTAAAAATCGGTCGCAGACACCATATCTCTGTGTTTTAGACATTGTTATGAATGAAAAAGGTGAACAGATCTGTAAACGTGATATAAATAAAGTGTTAATATTGCAATGGGTTTCAAGTTCAAATGCTCTTGACTTGCCATAGTTATTTTAATCATCGACTTGGCCTTGGTCCAAATAACCTGTGCATCGATATCTATTGCGTTGCCAGTAATATTTACGACAGTTAAGAATCCCGCTATCAGTTTCGAATGGTTGTTTATGTAAATATTCATGTTTGCTAAATGTTTATTTGTCCTTCACCGAATGTTTGTTACATGAGTGCTTGGCTTTGTTTTGCAGCAACCTCGAGGACGTTATGCTATGCATACTGGCGGCTGACGATTTCAACAATCTCGAACTTCACATTCATTTTACCCTGTTGGAGGCATTCTGTTGGGAAAACGACATCAGCCTAGTCAAGGTGAGCATTTATCACTTCATAACATTATTGCATGTGCACCTAGCTCGTTCTTGATTTCTGATGCAATTATTTAAAAGTACCTGGTAAGCCTACATCTTTAACTGTCAGGTGGGCGCACCTGGTACGGGAAGGTACTGAACAGCTGCTTAGTAAGCATAAGGGGGCTCCCAGTACCTGTCAGCTCTCGTGCTTTGTGGTTGCTTCTGCAGGAGGGCCGAGAGGTGACCCATCGATCACACAGAATGCGATGAGTAGCGTTTCTCTAACCTGCTGTTAGGGGTTAAGAACCTTTCAACTATCTGACAGGTGCTCTGTTGTCAATTAAGGACCAGTACAGGTTATATTTAGCAGGTGAGCCCAGGTTAGGGTGTGTTAATGGTCGTTTTTCTCCATATGTTCATGATGCTTTAACATGCCACGTGAAAGCTGTGATGTGCAGCATCATGCACCTCTTAGATAAGTCTTGCCATTATATCATGTCTGCCTCGTGTTTGACGTGACGAAGCGCTTTAAAGTCACGACACATAAGGGTGAATGCTTTCTGCAGATAGCTACCTTAAGTGCCCCTGATTTGACCAGGTAGAACAGAATACAAAGATAACCTGATTTATAGCGTGTTCACAAGTGGACTAACTTACACCAGAACCAGCTGGCGTAGCCATTGATCCATTGTACCATACGGACATCCATTGCCCATTATGTCACAATGTTGAAATAAGCAATCTAGTCGTCTGGTCATGTCTGTTTTCTGGTCTGTATTAGTTCTATATTGAATCGGCTGTGGTTATCTCACGAGTCCCTCTCTGGTGAGATACCCCCCTCCCAAGATGTATTGGCGGCCAAAAAGGTTTCATTGGTAGCCAGTCAGTTGGTGATGCATATTTATTAGTTAAACAGCGACTTCGTTTGTTAAATGTCATCACACCCCACAGGGAAGCAAAGTTCAATATGCCGACCTCCAAGGTAGTGGGTTTTTGGACAGAGACAGAGTTGATAACGGTTAATTCGATGAACGACGCAGTGTTGTGCATAAATTGTGGCATTAGCGTATCAGGTTAAGCGGCGGCCCTAGTACTGTTATGTAAACTCGTTAAGGTAAATGTCAGCTCTCAGGCCAAGCTGTCCCGGTAATATTTTATACAGAATTATATATAACGAACAGAACCTAGAATAATAAGATGTGAAAGGAACTGTTTTTAACTTCACCTCAGGATGTGAATGGAACAGTTATGTGCTCACCTCAACCACCAGCCATGCTATTTCAGCTGAGATAACTTGTGGTATTGTTAGACGCCAGCATATCTAAGGTTACCTCCCTAACTTTACCATTGTTATGATCTAAACCTTATGATAAGAATCCTGAGGACATGCAGAGATAGAAAATGAGTATGTATACATTTGACTTTAGTTCGTAGGTTTAGCAGTTGGCTGAGTGTAGGCGAGTTGTTTTATGAAAAACATATTAGTTTTGCCTACACTGAAGTCATAATCAGATCAAATTATTCCCCGTCTTACAGAAATGGCCCACTGGGACCACTCACATTTAATTAAGAACAAGACACGTAGAATAAGGCGTAAAATGTAAAACCAGAATAAAAAAACGCTCCTTGTAATATTTTGTTATTCTGTATAACGGTCATGAAAACAAGGACGGAAGGCTTTCGGCAACAGGTGCGGACAACGAAGCTTAATTTGGACACTATTGATAAAATGTCGATGACTTCGTATAGTCCTAAAATAAATTGTGAAAAAACGTTAATTAGAAAAGTCAAAACAGGAAATTTGCATCTCTATTAACTTAAGTGCTGTAGACGTAGGTCGTGTTGACTGGTATAGTCGGCTAAATACGTTGTCAAGATTCGTGAACTTAATTTTAACGGTCATATGTTTACTTAGACTGTCAGTCTTCTTAATGGACAGCATTCAGATTGTTTACAAGTTCAAAGATCAGTTAAATAACAAGGAAGCACAGGATGTTGATCTGTGCTAGTTTGAAGTGACAACTTTTCTTGGCGTATTTTTCCTGATTTTAATTGTTAACATTTTAAATGGTTTGTAGCTTGCAGTTAATATTTGATTGTATAAAATTCGGATGTTTATTGTCGTGATACATTAGCAAACTAAAGTACAGTAGTTCCATACTGTTTAAAAAAATCGTATCGTTTGTATTTTTCAGGTAGACTCTTCCTCCAAGCTAGGGAAGCTTCTATTCGACGGCAATCTTCCAGCAAATGACAACGACTTTGCTGCTGGCCGCATTAATAGCCTCCGACCCCTGGACTGCGTTTTAATACAGGTGAGCTTGAGTTACCTTACTTAAAACTCTCCTGCTACCAATCTGTAACTGAGGATTTTCTTTTGCTTTTAGAATGATTTCTTAGGACTGCTTCAGTTTATGATAACCTATGATATGATAAACAAAATTTGATGTGGCTTTTAATTATCTCTATAGTATTGGTTGGTAATGTCAATATGGACGTAAATTAAAAAGTAAGCGTAGTGACTTGCATTTGACATTGTTGGCAGGGAAAGTAAAAAGTTAATCAAATATGATCTTTTACAAGGTTTCTCAATCATGGCGAGCTTAATCCACGTGCCTCACGTACTTATATAGAGTTTACTTTTGCGTAGTAGTTATTGGATTTGTATTTATTGTATCATTTGCAAATTCCAGAACAGATTTTGAATATTTGACCTTTTAAAGCTGCGTTGTTTATTTCTCTTAACACATATTTCTAATTTTTATTCTTCAGTTTCCAAAAGAAACCATCAGTCCTCAGGATAAAAAGGTTCTAGACTTTTACAAAGCGAGCGAAAGTATGTTACCACGGCCCATAATCGACCTCCCGGAATGACGCGGACGTTGGGGAACTGTTCTGTGAACCAGCACTGCGTTCCACTCAGCGCAGCGAGTCACGGGTTCCGGTGTAGTGCCTTTGTCGTGAATACCGGTGTTATCCCGTTGTTGTTGTCTGTGTCGTAATCCAGCTCGCCTCGTCCAATACCGGGGTATGCGTAAACATTGGACCGCCATCAGGGGCAACGTGACCGTGTATCGGTTAGCTTGGAGAAAAATGGACGCTTACTTAGATGGGACTTCAGATTGACCTCGACTTGGTGCTATATGCTTTTTTGGTCGACGCCCAGGTTCCAGATTTTGTCCCTTTGGAAAGAAAGACTAACTATTGCTATGGCTAATTTCTAGTCTTTACCAAAACGTCATATCCAGTTGGCCAAATGAAAAACGTGCAATTAATGACTCTATGGAGCTCGTATTTAGAGCGTTGAGTTGACATCGAATTATCATATTTAGACTGATATTTAGATGTATTGAGATCCACGTAAAAGTGCATTGTAGATGGGCGACTTATTTACCTGTTCAAAGTATGTGATAAACGATTAAGTTGAAAAAAGTTTGAACCTTCTCTGATATCTGCTCTGTTAACTGTTTTAACTTATGATGTGGTTTTTAAAAAGGCATATCGTAATTGTTTACGTGCCCTAGACGGGAATGATGTAAATTATATTTCTCTTGACATATTTTTGTAAAGATGTAAAGGATTGCTGCGGCTGGCCGCATTTGCATGCTCATCAAATATCCATTCTTATTTTTTTACATTCGTATTTAAAATCTATTTATTGAGGCTGTTATATTTGTTAATATTTTGTTAAAGTTGAATGTGAGGAGAAGAATAAACCTTTGAAAATACTTCTATTTTTACTTGTTTATTATATGTTTTTAAAGCGATCGATGTGGATATATCAAATTTAAAAGTACGAATCAGACAAAACTTGGGGATATTTCTACGTTTCGCCTTGTGTTTTATAAACCCATCAGCAAGATTTAAGTAGGGGTCAAATTTTTATTCGTATCAACTAAACAAACGGGGAAAATATTTTAAAGAAAATTTCAACGGGTTATTGTAAGAGAATCCCATTGTTTCCAAATAGCAAAAACAACGATGATTACTTTTGTCTGAGTTTGAACAAATGCACCATCATGCTCCATTCAACAGTCCCAAATCCATTGACATATGCACGGTATGCCCGTAAAATAGTCAGTCCTTATGTACTCGCTGACTGTAAAAAACGAATTCCAAAAAATTAGTGTCGATGAAGAATGTATCCTTCTTAATCGTTTTCGGATAGGCTGCCTGTGTGTTGCTATGGTGACCAAACGTCTAAGACCTGATAATCATTTCCAGGAACGTATCCGTAACGGCTGCAACCTCAATTACTTAGTTAGATTAAAGGTTAAGGTACAGGAATCGGCAAATTGTAACTGCCTTTCACTTTATTTCTCTATTTCCGTAAGGCATAAATGTTTCAACATTTTATTGATTCACGAAATAAAGATATTCCTAGAAATATCTACTATCAAGTCTCACTTTTGAACTGCGCAGTTGTTTTTGCAATCATTGGTGTTGAAGCATTTCCATGAAAGAACGGAACAGTACATCTGTGCCCATATTTGCATCCTAAATTCTGCTTTTGCTGATATATAATTGACTAGGGAGTGTGGGAGTTCGTTTTCATGAAAGATAACATAGTTTCTCTGGCTTCATCAAGTCTGCTGTCTGTTATGTAGTGAAGTGACGCTATGCAAACCATAATGACAGTGCTAAGTTTTAAAACAGAAGACTAAAATGCTGGGCGATTCCTTTCGTTATTCTTTCCACTGTATTTTGAAATCTTAAAAATATGTTTTATTAATCATGCATTTTACTGAAGTATCTAGACTAACTTCTACAATATGTCTATAACAACAATATTCAATGAAAGGGGACCAGTCCTGCTCCTCCTTCTCCTACACCCCTTTCTCCCCCTCATAGTCTTATTGCAGGCAATTTACAATAGCACTCATAATATGAAATATGTTTTTGTGGACTTCAGAGATTAATATCCCCCCCCTTCAGAGAAGAGGCATGGTGAATCTGCCTTCCATGTTAATAAAATTATATCGGTGCTGTTAAAGAAATAAGGATATAAATAAGTTTACAAAAACAGTTCCAAACACATAGATGCACAAAGCTGTACCTGTATGTGCCCACTCGCTTCAGAAGATGAATATTCCAGGTAAAATTTCGCTTTCTAGGAAAAGTAAACACAATTTCTCTCGTAGCTTGTAAACGTTTCCAAGAAGTATTGGAAAGTCATTGAGTAACAGCCGTCAAACCTCATTCACTTACAGATATCTTTTACAACTCCCAGGAGTAGGACAAGACGCCGCCCCTCTATCGATTAACTGTCCTACATTTCCAAGCAATGGCGTAAAAGTGATTTTCCGAGAATCCTGCATCTCTAAAGCACAGCATATTTCTAAGCCTTTTGTAAGTAATTGGTATCCAAGTGAACTCTCGGTAGGGTTAATAAGTACGTAAATAGGCTATGTTTGGATGGCAGGTGCGTAATAGTCAGCTTACTATACTCATGGTTAATGAACTAGTGCTAACAGCCAGGCTGAATACGAGTTAACACATTTCAAAGGACTAAGCTGGCATGTACGTAGATATTGTTTCTTCAACGTCATCTGCTATTTAACAACATCATTTATGTGAGGGCTCCGGAGTCCGCGAACTTGCGACTTTGCACGGTTTTTCAGGAAGCTTGTTTTTTCAGAAAAAAAAGTTAACTGGGGTCTTCTCACCTACTCTCTCCCTTGATCAGCCAAAATAGCAACAGCTTTTCTTGTTGCCTGAGTATGACAGCGCTCTTTTCAGTTGAATGTTTTATGGGTTTTTTTCGGATAGTAATGCAGGACATAAAAAGGTTTGATGTCAATATTTGAGTTACGTTCAGTAAAATTCAGCTTATCATTGTTTTTTCCACTCTAAATCATCTAATCACCTTTTTTTTTACTAATACTACTTCTACTATTACTACTACTTCCATTATTATTATTATTATTATTATTATTATTATTATTATTATTATTATTATTTAGGCTTTTGGGTCCGTAAAATAAGTTATCAAAAGAAGGCCATAAAACATTTCGCTCAACATTTTTTTTGTGTAGATTTTACAAATAAAACGTAAGTTTTAACGTGCACCTCTGCTATCAAAACATGTCATATAACTTTTAGATTAAAAGAAAAAAATTAAAAAGACGGAATAAGATTTTTATGTACATTTTGCCGATACAGAAGTAGATACTAAAAAACGGCCCCCTCTCAAATGCATGTTTTACTTCTCAGCAAACCATCAGTGTGTATATTGATTTGAAAAAAACAATTTTCCATCATCTCCGTTTCAACAGTGTGCATATTTCTATTTATTTCCAAATAGAATTTTCCAAGCATAATTCCGTCAATAAGCTAATCTAGAACATTGCTTTAAAGGAATCCATTTAACCACAGTTAACACTAACCACATTTCATAGTATCCAGGGCCGCGTGCTTATTGTATTAAACAACCCACCGACCACGTGACCGAGCAGTTTAAGTAGTAGTGATTCCTTAGGTGTACGCATTCTTACGTCAACGCGTGTGCAGAGAACATCGCATAACACGGGTGAAATTAAACAATTGCTAAAGATAATATTTCAAGGATGGGTTACCCAGAATCACTAAGAAGCGTTTCCTATATCCAGATGGAGAATAACAATGAAGAAACCGTGGACGCAACAGTCAAAAGGTAGGCGTATTCTTGAGTGCATTACAATGATCGACACTCTGGTTTTAACACATTGTTGGAAACTCCTTTCTCTATCGAGCGCCGTCATGGCGTTAAATAATAAAACAATGTATGTATGTTATTGTATGATTTCTCGAAGTAAATTTCACGTTCAGAACCATAGATGACCATTGCTGTTTATCTTACAGGTGGTCTAATTCAGTAAAACATTATGTAAGTTACTGTTACTAAGAAAGAGGATTATCCAATATTTATGTGTCTGGAAAGTTAACTTCAGGGAATTAGGCTATACAAATACATGTTCATAGATATTGGTGTGGTATAAATTGATAGGCACCAAATTATTAGGGATCAAATATCTAAAAACTTTGGCTTTTGGTGTTCTTATTGTTTCTACATATTTGTCAGGAAAACGATTGGGCAGTGTTGTAATTGTCTTGAAAATATATATATATGTGGATGAGTGTTAAAATTGATTAAACTCTGTTAATTTTTCAGCGTCGTGCCTCCGCGCCACAGCAGTGACATCTGCCGGTCACTTTGTGCCAGTGTCGTTAAGGCCAGGGAGGAAGGCCGGCTGACCTGTGGGGTGTACCAGGCGGCAAGGGTGCTGGAAACGTGAGTGTTTTATGCAAAATCAAATTGCTTGATTGTTTATAAAGGCCAAAAATCTTGCCAAAAATCTCAGGACTAATGTACTCTAAGTAGTGCTCTGTGCGTATTAGAAGAAAAAAGAGGGTCTGTAAAATATAATATTTCTGGAGTAAATGGTTGATTTAGCATGCCCCTTCTTTTGATTACATAACACGTTTTTTTTTACAGAAACGTTAGTTTAAGGTTTATTTTGTTCAAAGATTGAATTTTATTTTGCAGAAATACGGATCACGTGATGTTGTGCATCCTGGCGGCGGACACATTAGATGATCTGGAGCTGAGCATCCATTTTACTCTGCTAGAGGCGTACTGCTGGGAGAACGACATCCGGGTCATTAAGGTGCGTAAAAAATAATAGTTAATGGGTTTAGTATTAGAGCACCGTGTTTCTGCAAGAAAGACGCTGGGCACTTCTTAACACCTGGCTTTATTCCATTAAAACATAAGTGCACCTGACACTGAGGTATATACCTGCCATACAGGTGCATGATGTCAGTTTTTAATGCTAGGGAACAGGTGCATGTGTAAAGTGAAGGTATCTTAGGGACCATTCTGAGACCCTATCGTACTAACTGTGGATCGATCTATCTCCGAGGGGGTAATTTATTTTAGTTTAGCAGCTTCAGTAGGCGTGCCAGACATCTAAGCCGCTTAAGCTGAATGCAATTTAGCGAGAAACCCCTCGGAGATGGATCGATCCTGTTAGATCGATCTAGGTATGGGAGCCCAGTCTTACATTTCACCCTGATGACCAGTTAGTTATAAATGTCACTGTAGCAGTCAGACAGCAGAGAACAAAGAGGAGCCGCTGACTTGACAACCTCTGATGTGACCTTTAACGTGAACTTGTTCAGAGTACTGCAGTAGCACATCATATTGGTCATTTAAACCCAAACAGCTAAATAGGATTTGTACATTTAAATTAAAATTAGCATAATTAAGTCATGCATTTCAAACGTGCAAATATTATATTAAAAATCAGTTGGTAGGCAATAAATCAAGGGCAATCCTTCTGCTGTAAATCAAGACCTGGATCGACCTTTGAGCACTCACAGACCTTGTATGACTAATGAAGTAATGTAGTATTCATGTCAATGAGAGTTTCTTCCGTGACCAAATGAAGTAGGCCTAATATTGAGAAACATTGGAGCAAACCAGTCGAAGCCGATGCAGGCCGGTTAGACTCTTTACAGTAACAGAATCATGAAGACACTTACAAAGGAAATGATAATACCAGTACATGACAATGACGTTTTGGCACAAAGGCATTAATAAGACTAAGGTCAACCACGCAAGGGCACTGGAATCAAGGTCGACCCCTTGCAATAGGTGCCCAACATTAGATTCACAAATAACGTCTGTTAGTTGGGTCGCGTTGGCATAATTGATGTCATAAAACCATTTTAAATTGAGTCATTATGTCTCAGTTTAAATCATCATGTCTCTACATTTTAATTTGAAAGACGTCTCAGTCCGAGGTGAAGGGCACTTCATGGACTCCTGTCAGGTCATGGCTAATGGATATAGACAGTAGGTTGGATATGATTTTAGCAAACTGTGCATAGCAGTTAAGATTTTGAAGCAATTGGGGCTGCATTATGGAGTATACATTGGGGCGCTTAATAGGAACCGTAGTCAAAGATGCACGTATTTTCCTATCAACTTTAGAAGACGCGGTTTAAATTGTTTATTTTTCATCTGGACTTCTTAGTATTGCGAATTCGATCGGGGGAATGAAAAAAGCAAGCATAACTGTAATTATTCCTAGGTTGTTATGATTTATGATTTATCACGTGCTCAAAGTTCCACGAAACCTGTCATTGAATATTAGATATGATAGATAGCTTAGGAGAGACCCCATTCTTACCACAATTTTTGTGCCACATTACTGCGTCATTTAATTATTGCAAGGTGCAAAGACGGTCCTGTCAACAATATCCAATCAACTGGATATGGCTTCCCACAACCTGAGACACGTGATTTTTGAAAATGTTACACTTGGCCTTCATAGGGTTTTTGATTATGATTGCGGTCAATATACTCTATTTTGTATAGTTTCTTAATTCACGTGACTTTGTTTATTTTTTTTTTTTCTATTAGGTGGATTCTGCGACGAAGTTATGGAGACTCCTGTTTGACGACAATCTTCCAGCAAATGCCAACAACTATGTGGCTGGCTGCAGTGATGATTTACGGGCATTGGACTGTGTTTTGATAGAGGTTAGCATCTTTCTACAAAAATGTATAAATGGAATCTGGCGATTTCTTTTAATTTAACGAACAAGGAATAAATCGCAATTTCAAACCAGACCTATACCTAATTACCCTTCTTCTTCTCCTCCAACGTAAGCTTACATTGGATTGATTGTACCTTATCGCCCGATCTACACATTTACAAGATATATACGTACATGTCAATCAGTGATTACATAATTAAAGCAAAATAAGGAACAGCTGTGGACATTTTTTTTAAAAGTCTGAATCCACTTTAAATTTGGTAAATTGCCTCATTTCAGTTCCCAAAAGAAAATAAAAGCGACGCAGACGCAAGAGTTCTAGACTTTTGCAAAGCCAACGAAAACGTTGACCAACCAAGACCAATCATCGAACTTCCAGTTTGAAAGGTGGATAAATCCATTGTTATCAGCCCATCGCTTCGTCCCAGCTAATGCAGAAGCACGTGTCTGAACCACGAAACCAAGTGCCTTAACCACGAGAGATTGGCGCCGACGCCGGTTCCAAGGCAAAAAACATATAAAGACCGTCTGAGCTAATACGTGAACCATCCATTGTCTTTGTGTTTAAAAAGTCTCAGGGTGCCTAATAACAGTATTAATGGTCGAACATGCCAGTCGCGATCAGTAGAACTACCTGTACGATGTCACACAATGACACCGGTTATCGTACCTGAAAGCAACTGTCGCTGTCGGTTTAGAAGTCGCCCAGTCGCCGTGACGCAGCTCAGGTAATGGCATCCAATGTCGATCCTCTTGTTCATTACGATGAAAAAAAACGGTTCAAGTACCAGAGTGCCTATAGCTACATGTAGTAACGGTGGAATAGGTTCCCGTAGCCGCGTCACGGCACCTTGTGATACCCGCCTGTCTAGAAGTCGCCCAGTCGCCATGACGCTGCAGGGACGGTCACGACACCTTCAAAGAAGAGATATTACACGGTTTTGAGAGACTACTCTACTCGAGGATGAGGACTTTAAAAAGATCAGAACATTTGACGGTGTTTGTGTTGTATATTATGTCAAATAAGTTATACCTGTATCTCCTGCCGTCCACACAAATGAAACTTATTTATATTAAAGGTATTCTACCCGGGTTTGAAAATGTTCCAGAGCTACATTTTCATGCCCACATATCCTGAAAAGCTACTTATCTCTCCTTATCCAGACCTTTAAAACGGCAAACTGAAATAAAAGTACTTGGTGTCTTTATTTTCTTCTGAAATATACAGGAAGACACGCCGGTGTGACAGGAATGGAAGTCCTAGGAACGGAAGTCCGGGACCCATATGATTGACACAGTTTACGGTTAGTCGGAGTATTGGAGTTAGTATGCAGTGTGGGACGAATGTCACCTGTACAAAGTAATTGGGAACAGACTACGGTTCCTAGCGGACTGCCATTCCTGTTACACCTGTTTAAGTAGCCGGCCATGTGTTTAAAACTAATTTGTTTTATTAGAAATTGTATGAAATAACGAATTGTATGAAATAACGAAGGTTTTCAAAAAGAATGGGTTATTTTCATTGTTCTTTGAATGCACTGTTGTACCGTAATGCGTAGCGGTTAAATAAACTCCATACTATTGATTAAGCTGATGGTTTCTGTCTTGATTTGTAATTATATATTGGCATATTGGTGACGTTAGATCAGACAGATAAAGACTGGTTGTGTCTGGTTGAAGACGACGTGTTCGCAATGTATTGTGAAAATGGCAAGGGGTTTGACACCGGAAGTACGCTGAGTTAATTGATAATTCTGACATTTTGTCTCTTTCACACACAGTACATTTTAAAAATATGTGAACCGAGTAACTACATATCTCGTCTTTCTTGGTCGTAAATGTGCCCATGACATATAACAGAGGTGCTAAGCTTACTTAAATCCTGATTGGGCCGATTTTTGTGTGCACAAAAAGGTTCACCAATTCGGGGCAGAAGTAAGTTAAAATCGTAAGACGTAAGACATATTAGTCACACTACATTGTAAAGAAAAACGATTAGACCAAGGCTCTGTTCTCACAACTTTTAGATCGATCTATCACCGCGGGGAGTCTCACTAGATTACTGTCAGATAATCCCCCTTAAGTGTCCGTCCCCGCCTACTACAAGCTTTAAGGGGCAATTAACTTTCGTGTCCGCCCGGCTGACAGCTATTTAGCGTGAACCCCCAGGGAGTTAGGTCGATCCAATGTAGGTCGATCTAATCTATGAGAATGGGGTGTATGTGATCACTAGGTCAACATATGATGTTTTTGTCAGCAGCTCACTCTCTTCGCCACCCACCGTATTTGTATCCAAGTTAAGCCGCGTTTGTTTGGCTTCCTTTGGTAAATTCATCATAATGAGACGCACTCTTAACTGAAGGACCGATCTTGACTGCTGACACGCCCTAAGCCCACCCACTGCCAGATGTCATGTGTCAGGTGGATGATGTAGACTTCTTTTCAAATAAAAAAAATGTGCGACGATCTTTTTTAAAAAATGAAACCCTTGGAATTAATACCAGTGGTTGTTGAGTCGGTCATCAATACAAATGCGGTTCATTTAGAGAACGTAATCTGATTCATACGTACTTGGTAAATTTAAAAAAAGAAAAAAAAGGAGAAACTTGAGTGAAAATAAATCCGCGCAAAAAGTATAAAAAACAAATTTGTTTTTCGTTAAAGTGCAATCTTTTTTCTGAAACTCACAGATTTGATCGACAATAAGCACATATTTTATATTGTTTTTACAAATTAACCATAATTTTCAACATCCGGAACTATTACAACTGACACATTGTTTTCTTAAAAGAACTTCCATTTATTGATCGGGCTTATATACTTTCAGTAAGAAATGAATTCAGTTCGCTGTATTCATATAAATAAGAGACCTCACTTTCACTTATCAAAGACCGGAGAATTAAGGACGCGCAGTTAAATGTCACCTGACCACGTGGCCTACTCCTTAAGTAGGCGCGGCGTCTGAGGTGAAACCATTCTCAACTTTACAAGCTACCAGTGCACACAGTCAAGAACGAGTGGAACCTACAGTATTTCATTTCTGACATATTTTGAATAATATGGGTTATCAGGAATCATTGAGGACCATCTCGTACCTTCAGATGAACAATAACAACAATGGCATGACATTGCACGGCGTTGGAAGAAGGTAGGCAACTTTCGTTTTATTCAATTAATTACCCACAGGGGTGGATCCAGGATTATTTGAAGGGAGGTGGGGTCCGCGGATGCGAAGCCGACCCCCACCCTTTGAGGTGGGGTTCGGAGGCCCAGAAAATGTTTGGTACAGTTTAGAACTATGATTCAGCTAGTCAAAATTCTAATTTCAAGAGGGGACCATTGGTGTGATTTTTTTTTCAAAAATTGAAGGGGGGGGGGGGTCAGGACCCTGACACCCCCTTAAATCCGCCACTGGCACATAAAACCTTTGCTAACATATAAAAAGACCAAATAACTGCTGCGCAAAATATAAAGAATCATTGACTTAAATAATATTAGCATATATAATTTTTTTCATCAGCACGTTAACAACGCGCCCCAATGCCATCAGCGTATCTCTTCAATTAAGCCTGCAAGAAGCTAAGGAGACGAATCGTGTTACCTGCGGTGTGTATCAGGCAGCAAGAAGACTAGAAGAGTAAGTGCTTTGAAATACTCAAATGCTGGCTTTATTATTCCTGATATACATTTGAGGTACTCTGTTTACTTTTAAAAGTGAATAATATGCGTACCTCTTGCAGTGATTTTAGACCAACTTGACGTGTATGTTTTGAAAATATTATGTATTGAAATTGTTATGTTTCCATAACACACCTAACAACACCGTTGCTAATACAGGTACATCTATGTTATTGTTACAGTACGTAGTTGGTATCTAATGATGTCGTCTAATTTCCAGAAGTTCAGACCACGTAATGCTGTGTGTATTGGCGGCGGATACCTTGGATAACCTGGAGCTATGTATTCATTTCACACTATTAGAGGCATACTGTTGGGAGAACGACATACAAGTTATTAAGGTATGTAACAGATACATGTAGCGAGCTTATTCTTCAACTTGTACTTATCAGTGCAAACTCTGAGTAGGGAACACATACTGTATCCAAGTCAGTCCAGGTGTTAAGATTTGTACAACTGCTATTGACATTCACCTGGCTGTAAGGTGTACCTGATCTCTGTGTATCAGTAGAGACAGGTGCTTGAGGTGAAAACGCCACAGATGCGTCATTGTGGCAGTCAGACATTGACTGCAGACAGGCCAGCTGACCAGACACGCCGTCAAAGCAGATATTATATTCTACCTATTATGAATAACTGACACAAAGAGACAGGTCAAAAAGTAAACTACCTGTGGGTGCGAACTCATGGTACCCCTATGCCTCTTAAATATACGATACAAGTCGGTTTAATTATCCTGATGATTAAGAATATTCAGTGCAGACCTAGCTCGTGCATGGTGGTAAAAAAATATATGTTAAGACCAAACACACGAGAGACCAACATATGTTAAGGACAAATAATCTAAGCCTGAAAAGACCTATTGTATGTCTGGCCTGCATACATCGCCTGGCCCGGGAATGACCGGGTCATGTGGCTTGTAGGATGACCGAGTAATTTGGAGTTTTCCCTGCAGTGCAGAACGGTGGTGATAAATTAACAAGTCTTTGGCGAATATTTATTTAAAAAGTAACAATGTAATCAGACATTTTTTGATCGAAAGAAGAAATAATGGAAAAATAATCAAATAACCATTTGATTTCCATCAACGTGGACGCAAACCCGGATTTTAGCAAATTAATAGCGTAAATAATAAATCTCGGGGCGACTCTTTGAATAAAGTAAAAATTGAATAATATGCAAATATTTCATTCAACCAAAAATGAACGTTATTTTATGATGAGGAGTGACCCGTCAAATGTCTTTACAACGATAAATTAGGTAATGGCAGCTTTCACCTCAAATGCCTCAATTCTGTGAGGTCAGGTCTTTTGCAAGTGAAGTCTCGAATGTGATGCAGCAAGGTGAAGTCGCTCGGCTTCATAAGAGTGAACATTTCAATCAAATTTTACCCGTATGAACCAAATACTTAGAGTATTAATTGATTGTCATGACGTATGTCTGTTTTTACTTCTCATAGAAAAATAAGCAGTTGTGAAAAAGCAGGAAGCCTTTTAAACAAAGGGTTCTACAAAACTCTGAAAACATATTTTTCAATAAATACGGACTTAGCTCAAGCTGTCTCTTATAAGCCTATATATTAACGTTTGCTGAAAACAGTTCAAGTAAGACGTGCATATACTGGTACAATATTGTCCAACCATATTACATATGCCTCATTAGAGGACACTTCAAAAATATAGTTTCCGTATGTCAGATAGACCTACTCTTGGTTCAAACCTTTGAATATATTGACAAAGTGTCGTCCCTAATTTGACGGCTTTAAGACATGAACTGAGCATATATTTTATGTATCTTGAAATAAATGATATTTTACAGTAAAGGGAACGCAAGATGTTAAATTAACAGTGGCTGTTCGTCACTTTTTATTCATCAATTCTGTTAATCAATTTAGAATTAAAAACAACATAAGCCATATTTGCTAAAAACATGATTATTTTATACTCTCTAGGTTGATTCGGCGACCAAGCTTGGAAAACTTCTTTTAGGCGACAGTCTTCCAGCAAATGACAACGACTTCGCTGCTGGCCGCAGTAATAACGCGCAATCTCTGGATTGTGCTTTGGTAGAGGTGGGTACCTTATCTGTAAACATAACTATTTCTTTTATTTGGAATAATTGTCTTTTAAGCTTGAATAAAAAAAAAAAAAAAAAACTGAACGAGAGACACTTTGCGGAAGTAAAAGAAATACATAAAAGCGTGACGTAGGCTGTACTACTTGCGTCGGATCGTGTTCGGGTAGGGCTTCCAATTTCGTCCAACAAAATGCCATGGTCACGTTTAGAAGAAATTCACAGGTGTTTATATGATCTTCTCACGTGTCGTTTATTTATAATAATAAATACTGACTTTGTTTGTTTATTTTGGCAATGATATTAAGTTTTTCCTTTCATATATTTTCAGTTTTCGAAGGAAAATAACAGCCCGGCAGATGAAGAAGTTTTAACATTTTCCAAAGCCAGTGAAGGCGTCTTACCTAGACCAGTCATTGACCTTCCGGAATGAAGAGAGCCAGCTGGCTGCTGTCTTCTCAGCACTGCGTCCCAGCAAACGCAGAATATGGCCCCTGTTCCGCGCGGGATTAGACAACGGCCCAGTCCGTTCCAGTGGCATGCGCTTGCGCAGTCCATGTGTATTCGCCCACGGCGTCTCCAGAATGGAGGGCACCATCGCCTAACAATTGAGGGCACCATAGTCACCAATTCCCTGGTTATATGCCATTTTGAAGGATGGAACTACACTGTAACATACAGGCATCCTTGCAGAATTACAATACTGGATTAGGGGTCGTTTGCCCCCAGAAAAAAAAACCGGACGACACATTTTATATTTTCGGTTGAGCATCCGAACGATTTGTGAGAATGTTTGTTGACAGTTTTGCTAAATTCTTCAATTATACTCGCCGTTGGAAAGAGCTTCTAGCGTTTATGCGGTGTCATCATACAAGTTTTCACAATTCTTTTTTTTTTATCAAGACGAGCCTCTTGTAGGATCTCATCAATAAACTTCATTTCTGTTGATTTTCAAAGATGAATCCTAATAAACAATATACGTTGTTTTTGCAGAGTTTGTATTTCATTCTTTCCACATGCAATGGTAGAAAAGGTGATGTGTACGTTTCGCGCTAACATGAAATTTCAAAATGAAACGATGAAAGAGGTTGAACGTCGGTATAACGAATAAGGAAAGCGCACTAATCTCAAATCACTCAAATCCCTAGTAATCCAGATGTAAGTCTTAAATCAAGTACGGGAGCTAAATTTATCTCAACTGAGCTAAATTAATTTCCAAATCAAATAGAGGTGGTAATCAGTTTTAAGTATGGGGAAAGTGCCAAAACCGTAATTAGTAATCATACGCTTTTTTTCCCCGATTCCATTTTGCGTCACTCAGTAAAAGAAAACTAGTAAAAGATACAGCCAATTAACAATTCTAAAAAGTGTTCCTCTTACTTGAGCTAAACAAACTCGTCGTTAACGTTATCTAAACACTATAAATGAAACAAATTACTTCTCGTTAAGTCAAATTTATTTTATGTGCAACAAAATGATCCCAATTTAGATCAAATGGGTACTTCAAAGCAGAAACGGCAGATTCGTCCTGGCGTTCTGAGACGAACAAGGTGCATTGAAATCCGACCACCGTCAATGACGTCATGCTGAGAGTTTTTAGTCCGTCGATTACGTCACCATACCAAATGAACTGGCTTACGCGTTTTCTTCCATGTAAATTACGTCCTGGCGCAGGACCTGAGAGGTCTTTCTATCACAATGTAATATTGTATAAAACAAGAATTATATGGATTTGAAAAGTAACCCACAATGTAATTTGAAGTCGTGTCTCTTAAATGTGTCTTTACTTTGAATGAGACATCTACAATGTCTGTAAGTGTGAGCTGTCAGAATTGGCGTTATGACGCAAAGTGGGATTTTTTTAATGTTATAATGCGAGAGACACAGGCTTTGTTTCCCTACTCATAATATCAAGATTGGAAATACATAATAAGCCTAATACATAATATATGCATAACATTTATATATGGTATATCAGTACATTCTTGATAACATCCCATATCCCATGTCGCAATGTGTTCTAATTGCTTAACACCCCCTTATATTCAGAATTGTGTTTATTGAAAGGTTACTGATATAAGAGAAGCCACAATCTTTAAAAACATAAAATCCCATCTGTCACTGAACGCACGCGACCGTTTTGTACCGACAAGTGAAGAAACAGCGTTGTGAACATTTCTATGAGACAGGAAAAAAGAAAAGAAAAATAAGGCAGCAAAGCTGTCAATTGTACAGACAAAAAGCAGAAAATAATGATGCACAAAACAGGCTACTGTCAATTCTGATGCAAAAATACATTGTGCTTAGCAGCAAAGTCAACGCCAAATTTTAATTAACTACAACAGGTAATATGGATATAAAGAATATTTAACTAGCATAAGGCTTCAGGCCCATGAGAGTTCAAGTTTGAAATAACCGGAATATGAAAAAAAAAAAAATACATGAATTCGAGAAAAACCAATGAAGCTGGTTTTCCAGTTTGAGCTGTATGTATGTCAATCCTAAGAATCAGTAAATTTGTAAGTTACAAAATAATAAGTAACACAGGTTTCTTTTCATTTTGTGGTGGCAATGCAAAAAGCAGTTTTTTTTTGTCAATCTTGATGCAATGCTACGTAATGATTAACAGCATAATCACCACCACTTCTTAATTATACTATACATATAAATACTATTATAAATAACATAGACAATTAGAAAATCTATGATTCAGCTTGTTGCCCGTGGGAGACCTAGGTCTCACAGAGAAAATGCCAATATGTGAAAATGAACATTTCACAAAGTACTGCATTGCTTTCAGAGAAAAATGTAATCAGAATGGTTTTCCAACTCAAGCAAGCATTTCAGCTTAATTCCTATTCCAATTAACAATTAGCTTAATTCCTATTCCAATTAACAATATCAATGAACAGATCAAAACCATTAATATTTTAGTAAGTTTGAGAATCATAAGTAACATGGTTTTCTTTTAATGGTCATTATGGCGGCAGTGCCCAAAATAGGGTTTTCTTCAATTTTGGAAAATGGTCCAATCATGCTGATTTTCGAACTCGGCCTGTATTGTATGAATATTCATCACTTCCGTAAGTTTGAAGACAAAAGGTAAAACGTTTTTCAACTTATCATGTTATCACCGAAAGTGCACGGCGACGGCGACGACAGACGCAGGTGACGGCTATATATGTACATCTGTGTCTGTACATAAAAAGCAAGTCTTAACGCGAGCTGAGTTCCAGTGAGATCCAGAGAGAGAGAGAGCGACAACCCAGCAATGCTAGCCCTGACATATTGAATGGAACACTCCAGAGGCTTCGGTAATCAGATATAGGAAATGAATTCGAGTCCCGGTCGGATTAGCTGCTGCCAGGTGCTAGTTTGAAGCATTGTAAATGGTATTCTGCAGCAAACGCTTGGTATCCCGGACGCCGCCTTAGGACCAAGATAGAAACCAAACGCGCGTGTTACACTGGACCGCAGCGAGGTTTCAACTCCTGCGCACGTGTCTGTTGTGGATTATATATGAGACTGCCGGATATGGTGGTGGTTAAAAGTAAGAAATAACCATACATTTCCCGAATATTCCAGGAAGGATTTAACAACGCCTGATTTTGGACATATAAAATTTCTCAGAATTAAATAGGAATTGATTTATTTCCGATTGTAAAATAAATCTGTGATTTATTTTATGAGGCATTATTGGCATTATATATGAGAATGGAATTGATGACATTATGTGGTAAAATTTAACTTCAAGCCGACGTTGCCTTTCACCCACTTGAGTGGACGTGTCACCTGTTTCAGTGTCATAGCTACATAATCTCAAGGTGAGACCGCAACGTCGGCTTGTCGATTTTACCATATATATATATATATATATATATATATATATATATATATATATATATATATATATATATATATATATAATTTTAGTGGATAACTGACGATTTTCACTCGTTTGAAAAGAACAAACCGTTTCAGTATAGACCTGATGTCATAGGTTATGAACAGAAGTTTCCCATACTTTGCTGCAAAGCTTAGGTGGCTCATTTCTTATGTTGTACCAACACCCCTGGCATCGTAAAACTTGAACACAAGTGCCAGATTTTATAACATATGCGCACTCATTTCTCTGCCAACATATAACTGCTCCTTTCCATCTAACTTACCACAAATAGCAGTTTAAGAATAATTCACAGCCATACCGGAATCCAGCTCTTAAGGCTATGACCCAAAGTCCAATCAGATTATTTTCATTAACCATCGCATTTCAGTACGTCTAATATTAACTGACAGATATATTTTGGCTGACGTCTGAATGACTGTTTAACACACAGTATAATACGAATAATGAAGCTCGAATAGTCCCTACCCAAATGGGCAAAATTAACTCTACTGTCTGTCCTCAAACTGTGTAATCTTTTTCAAATTTATAAGCTCGTCGTCTAGTTCACCTATTTTTATGTTTTCATGGCACGCGACCCCAGACTTCAGGTCGGCCGGGTGAAAATCAGTAGTAAGGTTCCACATTATGTCATACAACACTACTGCGCGAGGACGGAGAGGGCATGACCTCGTGAGCTTGACCTGCATTCTTGAGTAAAACTTTCTAGCATACCTGCATATGAAGTACTTTTCAGGTGAGGGGCAGTATTGACCTGAAAATAAATGACTTGCAGGGTCTCGTGCACTGTCGGGCCTTAAGGTGACATAATAATTGAAAACGATACAGTTTGTTATTAATTAATAAGACTCTGCTCTGCAGTGATCGGTTTTGTATTCTGCTAAAGCTGCAGTTTTATATATATATATAAAACTGCAGCTTTACTGTTTTGTATTAAAAACACAGTTTGTATTTAAACATGCTTATTTGATAAAAAAAATTATGGCTATAGTCCCGATTAACAATCAATGTTTACTGAACCACCAGAGGTAATAGGCCCTACCGGTGAATATAAGTTTCGTCCTTTCGTCCTGCAACATATATATATATTGGATAATAACTCATTATTTATAATATTCTATTATCTTTGGTTGATTTTGGGGATATGACTTTAGCGGTGTGAACAAAGAGATCGAACAAAGGAAAGAAACGCCAGACTCTCCCGGTTACAAAAAATTGCATTATCTAGTTCTGCGCCTGCGTAATAAACATTGCCAGCTTCAATCGCCCTTATTGACCTCCCATACAGAACGTAACAAAGAACCTAGGCCAGTGAACTCACTTCTTGTAATAAATATCCCCGGACAAGAAAACTATCGATTTAACCTCAACCGCGCAATAATGTGGTCAATATAATTACCGCGGCGTCTGGTCACGGTTCACTGATGTTTAAGTTCATTGAAACGGTGACCCGAGGTTTGAGTTTAACCACAACAGAGAGAGGGCATATTATGTAAAGCAGCACCGCGTGAGGACAAAATGCGTCCCGAGAATGTGGCCGGACAGGTTGCTGTACTGCTCGGAGGTCACGATTCTGTTGTGCCAAGAACAATAACTGAATAATGAAAGGACGAAATTGAGTTAAAATTATAGAAATTCATGGAAGTTACTTTCTGGTTGGTTTTCAAATTAGCATGTGCTAAATACATTTTCGCAGACGATCAATGTAGCTGAGGGGAAGCTTCCGTCTGTGTGCAATACTATGAAGGACTGATGCAACAGTAATCTGGCCGCTGCTGGATGGGATGCAGGATGTTTGGACGACGAATTAAGAAATAGAAAGATAAGCTATGTTTGCGTAAAAAAGCAATTTGTTGAATTGTTACGTGGTCTTCCATGGACAATCAATCATGCTAGATTGTAAATCATTGACGTTGCCCAAATTGGTTTCAAGTTCTGGAAGAAATTAATGAT